CGGTTTAGGCTCAGGCTCAGGCTCAGGCTCAGGCTAAGCCTCAGCCTAAGCCTGAGCCTGAGCCTGAGCGGTTTAGACACCTTAGCTAAAGAAAACCTATCTTCGTGTCAATAGATAAAAGATAGAGAAAAAACGTTTGATATTTCGCCAAAATTTCAGAGAAATTCATTCAGCCAATTTTTCCGTAGAGTTTTTTATAGATTTTTACGAAAAAGGCGTTTTTCACTCTCGAATTTGCTTCAAAGTGAACCGAAATTCATTTAAAAAGATGCAAATTGAACAAAAAAACACTTTTTTTATAGAGCAAACTATAGATTAGTTCGTGAATTTGTTACTTTTTAACAGAAGTACGAAAAAAACCAAAAGACTTATGCATCAACCTAATAAATAAGATTTGCATAGAATATGCATTTTCTAAAATATAATAACTTTTGAAAATTGAGGTAATCTTTATTTTTAAATTATTCCCAAAACTCGCCGTTGAACTAAATGGAAGCAGAGGCCATTGATGGATTTTCACAAAACCTTCTTTTACATAATAATCCAGCACTCGTTTAACGGTTTTAGAGACAGATTGAACGTTCAAAAGAATTCTAAAAGAAAGATATTCAATCAATGAGTAAAATGAGCTCAAGTGTTGAACTTTGAGCTCAAATTTCTTTGTGTTGGGCTGTTCAATTTAAATAGTTTTTGTACGAATCGATAGAGAAAGATTTAGCGCATCGAATGATACCAAGTAAATTCAAATTGAACAAACCAACACCGAGATATTTCAGCTGAAAGTTAGATTGCTAATGGAAAAAGGAGCGGAGCGTATCAAATGTTCGATCACCCACTTGTGTGCTCCCTGTCTCCTCCAAAGCTCTAGGTAAACGATCATTCGTGGCCAATCGTTAAACCTGAATATTTTTCTGTAAACTTTATAAATTCTATCAATTTACCAATGCAGTGCTCCAACACAAGCCGATAGAGTATTTGAATAGTTTGCGGGTGATCGATGCAATGCCACTTCTACAGCATTTCCATTCCGAATTACCGTAATCTAATTTCTACAGTAATCTGGTTTATTTTCTATATTATCCCTTGACTACAGTAGCTTTTTATGAAATTCTTTCACCTACCTTTTCTGGCACTTTTCCTTGATAGACTTTCGATCCGATATCGTAATGCCAATAGGTACACTCATGCTTGTTTGGGCATTTAACTAAAAAAACACGATTTCTTTTGAGAATATTAAAAAAACTATTGTTTGTGCAAAAGATCCATTGAACGCCAATATCTTTTCCAAAAATGAGAATCGAAAATTTAGCGTCGAGTCCCGCACAAGTTGCTGTGATAAGGAGACGAATTCGAGGACCAGCTGGGTCCCTAAATGAGGGATAAAACTTATTGCTTGTTGCTAATTTTCATTTAAATTGACTTTCTAAGAATGAGTGGACTTTAGTTTTCGGAGAACTTCCATCTTAACCATTTCATCTTTTCATTTTAGGGCCGTAGCGGGGCAACGCCAGTGTGGCTGTCTCTGGAATTAGAGACCCGGGTTCGATCCCGGTTCCTAGTTCATGGTCCAGGTCCTTAATGCGAGAAGACTATCCAGCCGTCCTGGCCTTCTCTTCACCGCCAGAACAAGCTATCTAGGGTCGTTCAATAAGAGTAGGGATTACGGAGTCGCCGAGAATGTAGGCGTGGGTTAAGTTAAGGTATTCCCTAGTATTGTGTGTGTCGAATTGTGAATTGTGATTATCGTGCCGAATAAATCATATCCGGGGTCCCCGATGTATATCTTTAATCGAACAAATCTGACACATACTGGAATGAAACCAAGATTGTTCCAAAGCCATTAAGCCATTAAGCCATTAAGAAGGCCAACCCGTCAAGGCCAGGATCCAGATTCAGGCTCCAAAACTATCCAAACCTGTGAGAAGCCAGATCAGTACCCTCACCCTGGTTTCTTACTGGTCTTGGAGTGACCTTGAGCCAGTCCAGAACCAATAGTAAAACTTGGCTTGGCAATTTGCAATCTGCATCTGCAATTTGCAATCAATTTGCAAGCTTGGCTTGACTCAGAACCGGTGACGCAGTATCTTTTGGGTTTTTTTACCAGTTTATTCTCGATTTTCTCATGAATCTAGTACCAACAACTCTAGCAACAACAACGACAACAACAACAACAACTCTAGCTGTCAGTGTCTTTAAAATTCGGTAAAACCACTTTGAAGATAATTTACCTCAAATCATAGAAAGCTTTATGAAGAAAGACAGTCTCTTTCGTCAAATTCTTCACGGTGTAAGACTTGTCGAAATTCGTATTACGATAGAAATTCGATTGATTTCCGTTGATAGAGGAATTGATTTCGATTGATAGAGGAATTGATTCCTCTAATTCTTGCAAACAGATCCATCGATCCAAAAATGTGACCAATAAACAGTAACATATAACAAAGCCACCAATAAAGTAAAGCTGAAAATGGAGATGAGAATTTTGTAAAGCCAAGTTTTATCTCACTTTTGAAAGCATTCAAATTATTGTTACTGTGGCCTTTACGAATATTGTAACACCTATTCAGATTACGGTAGCCTTACTAGGTTTATGGATTACGGTAGAGATTGGCTATAGCGAGACAATACCGCAAATCAAAAACTTACAAGTAATACCCGTACGCCTTTCATTTTGAGGAATTTAGTGAAGAATTTTGAGGGATTTAGTCAAATCAAAGTCAAAATACAAGAGTTCAGTCAAATCAAAATATTTTACAGTTTTTTTTTGGATCAAACGGATTGCTTTAAATCCAATTGAACCTTCCAAATCAAATCAATTCACATTTCCCTTCCATTCAGGCTATTCAATTGGGTCTAACAATGCGACCAAATGTTTCACAATTGCAAAAAGAAAACTGAACTGTCAGTAGTTGTTAAAAAAACGACAATTCTCTTGTCCGGTACACTGATCTTTGACACATTTCAGAGTTAACACATTTTAGAATACAAATTGTATTTTAACGTTTGAAAAAAAAACTTAAGCACAAAGTAAATTAAGGGGTTAAGATGAGTTTTCCAAAAATGTGTCTATGTAAAGAAATATTCTTTGCGTGCTTGGTACTCTTTAGACATGGGCAGCGGGTCGGGTCGGGTCGGATCGGATCGGGTCGGGTCAAAAGTGACCCGCTGACCCGACCCGCGACCGGGCTTTTTTCCCGGACGACCCGCTGACCCGACCCGCTGACCCGATCCGCTGACCCGATCCGCTGACCCGACCCGGCAAAAATTTTTGGCTTGACCCGACCCGGCCGCCAAAACTCGAAAATGGACATGTCTAGTACTCTTCACTCAAGAGACTTTATTTTTTTGTTTCGAGATACCTAATCTCACTTGAACTAAGACGCTTTATTCAATAGCCGACTGGCTCGGAGATTTTTGGGCTCTCACTTGAGCAATTTTCACACAAAATCGACAATTGAATTAAAAGCGACGATAAAAAAAAAAAACAATTTCGTCCTACTCGGACACAACTTTTACACGATGAAAGAAAATCAGAAAAACGTAAAAAAACAAACATCGAATGAACAACAGTTGCGTTATATAGGCTTTAACACAAGATATTCAGCTAAAAAGCTAAAAAACAATAAATGATTTGGAGCGCGAAATAGAATGAAGGCGCACGGATTTCCGCAATACTTCCAATTTTTAGGCTGTCAGAGTTTGGTAACTTTTTAGCGGCTATTCGCGACGGTCTAATAGTTGAATTTTTCTAAGCTATTGTAATAGGTTGATGCATAAGTGTTTTTGTTCCTTTTCGTCTGCCGTTTCAAGCCAACAAATGCACGAATTAAACTACGGTTGATTTCATTAGAAAAAGCAATTATTTTTCTGCAAAATAACATTAAAACGGGTTTAAAAATATTTAATGCCTGGATTTTCTTGAGAGTATGAAGTCGGGTAGTCAAAAAGGGCTAACTCGATGATGCGGTTTAGACACCTTAGCTAAAGAAAACCTATCTTCGTGTCAATAGATAAAAGATAGAGAAAAAAAACGTTTGATATTTCGCCAAAATTTCAGAGAAATTCATTCAGCCAATTTTTCCGTAGAGTTTTTATAGATTTTTACGAAAAAGGCGTTTTTCACTCTCGAATTTGCTTGAAAGTGAACCGAAATTCATTTAAAAAGATGCAAATTGAACAAAAAAACACTTTTTTTATAGAACAAACTATAGATTAATTGGTGAATTTGTTACTTTTTAACAGAAGTACGAAAAAAACGAAAAGACTTATGCATCAACCTAATAGATTTTTGTTTTTCTGGCAGGCTAATAATTACCAGACAAAGGTCGACGATTCGAATCCTAAGAGCTAAATATTTTTGCTTTTAATACTATATGCGAATACCATCGAGTAGATCAAGAGCCAATCAAGATCCGCAAATTTCTTGATCTCTCAAAACAAGACTCGATGAAACTTTTCGAAAAATGAGATACCCTCAAAAAGGGTTTTCTTAAAAATAAATCCATAACTTTTTCTGAATTTTTGTTACAATGATCATTAAAGTCTTATTGACTATGGCTAAAATTTCATCTCAATTTCAAGCTAGAAACCCAGCAAATGATGAAAAGCCCCCTTTGAAAAGGCGGTCTTGGCCTATTTTTTTAATACATCTATTCAATTTACACAGGATTTTACTTCAATACAAAAAATAGAAATAATTTTATGTTGATTAGCTTAATGGCCTTACCGAGCATCAAGGTCTCCTCCACAGGCTTCAAAGATTATTCCGCTTCCCTCAAGAATTGTTTTTCATAACACTCAAAACGACCAAGAACAAAGTAAAGTATATCAAGGATGCCAATCTGATAGAAGTACCACTGCATTAGATGCTTTCTCAAACATTTTTCAGACCTATAAAATAGACTTCATAATTTTTATTCAACTAAACAATTAATATAGAATGAACAAGACAAACACGTTAATACTTCGAATGAAGACACAAAACAAAATGAGTTTGATTAAATTAAATAGCGGTATAATTCCTCGCAAATCCTGAATGAAATCGGCTTTTTCATCAGGACCGACTTAGATATTCAATCATATTCAATAATCAATCTTCATATAAAGGTATTTAATCAAAAATTTATTAACATTAATAAAGAAAGCAACAACATTGATTTGAAGGCGATGTCGTTGCCCGAGTTGTTAGAGAGACCAGTTCTCGCGATGAGCACCTAAAACTCAAACAAGCTTATATAAAACGGATATATCGGATAACAAATTATATGATAATATAAGTTGATCCGACACCTTTTAAAGCACCATATAAATATCTTCCTTATCAAAAAGACTAATGGCTAAACATTCATAAACTCGAAGCTGTAAAATGACCAAAAAAATCAAGAATGCTAAAATTTAGCACAAATCAATTCTTATATACCATGCTGAATTTAAAGTCTATAGCCAAAAAAGCTTGACGTGATTGAAACTACTAATTTTTACCGGGAAAAACTCCAACCTGTTCAAACTCCAACATAGCCCACGCCTACAAGAGCGGCAGTCAAAAGAGCAAACTGTTGACCGTTTGGAAAAACCATGTAGAAATCCACTACTGGTCCGTTAATGTAGCATTTGGTATGGGGATTCAATTCCTGAAAACAAAATGATTGGAATGGAATTCGAAACAAATATAAATTCAAAAAGACAATCTCCAACCTGAAGCCTTACACCCTTTACCAGGAGATGCACCCAAAGACGTGGAGTTTTTGCTGGCTCAAGGATGTTGTTCGTGGTGAATTGTCGTGCTTGATTGCCCTGAGGGTGCGCAAAACGGTACACCACCCCTCGGAAGGTGATCTCGAAATATTGGGCGCGGACATCCATCGCTGCATATTCGGAATCGAAGAAGAAACGCACTGGTGGCACCATGTCAATCCTAAAATAAAAAGTTTAATTATGGATTTATCATTTGTAATGAAGCATGAAAAAATTAAATTTTATGAAATGGACTGGCTTACGAATAGACCAATGACTTTCCTGTGTTAATAAAAATCAAACCAAATGAACCAACATGTTTGCATCCTGATCATTTTCATCTATTTCATCGTCAAAGAACGAATCATCTTCAGAGTCGGTCGCCTTCTTGCAGGTGGGGACTTTCAACTGAATTTGGGTTTTTTGGTAAATTATAAAATTAACTAGACTTAGGGAAAACTCGTTAAAATCTAAATCAGCGATCTAGATTCTAGATTAAAGGAGATTATTTTAAGCCAAATAACATTAAAATTCTGATCATAAACTAAATGAGGTATCTACTCAAGAATCTAGAATAATTCAAATCTTCCGTGGAAGCGCAAAAAGGTGAGACAAAACCTGCTCATAATTGGCAACCGTTTTCATCTTGGTGACAAAATCGCTTAACATTCCCAGGTCCTCGAATTGAGCACAAAAATCCACCACATGAAAGCCAAGCCAGGTGTCATTCGTGTTTGTTGACTGAAAATCAAATCAATAAATGAGTTAAATCCTTTCTTAATTCATAGACATAATGATTGCACTGCAACAATTCACTGAATAGCAATAAATATCATTTGCAATTGCCTTCTTCACATTAAACAATGCAATAATATATTTCGTGAAAATGACCGACCAAAGTTTCTCTAGAGCAAATAGGGATTCAATTTTCAAAAAGTAAGAAAATCCTACCTGCATAACCATTTCAGGTAAAATAAGCTGAACCTTCTTCACCGTATTCACAAAAAAATTCCGATTCTTGCCATTTTGAGGGTAAGCAAAACGGAAAGGTTTCGATTGATAAACGATCTCCAGATATTCGAGTTCCACCTTGAAAGAATCGAAATCTTTTAAGAAACACACTTGAGGTCGCATTTTGATAGCTCTAAAGAAGAAGAATTAGAGAAACAAAACTAAAAAGAGATAAACAAAGGCTAGGCGACACGAATCATCTCTTATTTATAGACTTTTCAATTCACAACACGTAGATTAATCAGATTAATCGATTTCAGGCTACTTTTGAAAAAATTGGCTTATTTAATGATTTAACGAAATCAAATTAAATCCATTTGTCACACGTTTTGAAGAAACGAAATAGATATTCAATCATATTCAATAATCAATCTTCATATAAAGGTATTTAATCAAAAATTTATTAACATTAATAAAGAAAGCAACAACATTGATTTGAAGGCGATGTCGTTGCCCGAGTTGTTAGAGAGACCAGTTCTCGCGATGAGCACCTAAAACTCAAACAAGCTTATATAAAACGGATATATCGGATAACAAATTATATGATAATATAAGTTGATCCGACACCTTTTAAAGCACCATATAAATATCTTCCTTATCAAAAAGACTAATGGCTAAACATTCATAAACTCGAAGCTGTAAAATGACCAAAAAAATCAAGAATGCTAAAATTTAGCACAAATCAATTCTTATATACCATGCTGAATTTAAAGTCTATAGCCAAAAAAGCTTGACGTGATTGAAACTACTAATTTTTACCGGGAAAAACTCCAACCTGTTCAAACTCCAACATAGCCCACGCCTACAAGAGCGGCAGTCAAAAGAGCAAACTGTTGACCGTTTGGAAAAACCATGTAGAAATCCACTACTGGTCCGTTAATGTAGCATTTGGTATGGGGATTCAATTCCTGAAAACAAAATGATTGGAATGGAATTCGAAACAAATATAAATTCAAAAAGACAATCTCCAACCTGAAGCCTTACACCCTTTACCAGGAGATGCACCCAAAGACGTGGAGTTTTTGCTGGCTCAAGGATGTTGTTCGTGGTGAATTGTCGTGCTTGATTGCCCTGAGGGTGCGCAAAACGGTACACCACCCCTCGGAAGGTGATCTCGAAATATCGGCGCTCGACCTTCATCGCTGCATATTCGGAATCGAAGAAGAAGCACTGGAGGATCAAGATTCCGAAACGCCATCAAGATTCCAAAACTAAAATAAAAAGTTTAATGATAGATTAATCAATCAATTCAAGAATTATTTCAGAAAAAGATAATACCGAATAATATAAAATTCAAAATAAGCATAAAGCATGAAGGAACAGTGATGGAATGAAATTATTGCAAAATAGAAATTTTGTGCACATTGTGTGCATTTTGTGCAAGGGTCGGCGCAATGTAATGCAGGCTTTCGTAGCGAAAACACAAAAAGACTATTTTACGAATAGATCAATTGCTTTCGAATTCGTTGTTATATATCGAGTCATAAAGCAACAGTATATGAAATACAAAAATATGAAATGCGAAACCAAAAATGGAAAAAGACCTGTAAAGAGATTCTACTCACGATTATAACTATACTTTCAAAGTGTCCCTCTTGCCCACTCAGCTGAATATCTTTTAGTTCCTTGGAGAATTTCAAACAAATGGGGGCAGCTACGAAAAATCTACGCAGAAAAAGGGGCGAGGCTTCGTAGCTTTCGTGGTTGTCCCTTTCGTTTGAATTTTCTCGCGAAATTAACACATTGACGACGACGTGACCCGCCGGCGGGTCACGAAAATTCGATCCAGAAAAACGCGTTCGTCCCTGTGGACGGAAACGCACTTGTTATGCCTTCACTGATCATCAACGATCAAGAACTACCTTTGGATGGAATAGCTTGCATTACTCACATAACAAAGCTACTAGGCTTGCTGGATGTTTTTCAAAAATAAATATCATTTTAGGCCCACTCAATGAATGGGAATCGCGATTACCCCGAACAATCGTTTCTGCCTGAAACAATGGGGATAGGCATGATCCATTTGGGGATAGGTATGATCCATTTGGAGATAATTATGATCTATTTGGAGTTTTTATTGAGCCACTTGGAGATAATTATGATCCATTTGGAGATTTTAATGATCCATTTAGAGATAATTATGATCCATTTGGAAATTTTAATGATCCATTTGGAGATAATTATGATCTATTTGGAGTTTTTATTAAGCCACTTGGAGATAATTATGATCCATTTCGAGAGAATTATGATCCATTTGGAGATATTTATGATCCGTTTGGAGATTTTAATGATCCATTTGGGGATAATTATGGTCCATTTGGATATTTTAATGATCCATTTGGGGATAACTATAATCCATTTGGAGATCTGAATGATCCATTTGGGGATAATTATGGTCCATTTGGATATTTTAATGATCCATTTGGGGATAACTATAATCCATTTGGAGATCTGAATGATCCATTTGGGGCTAATTATGATCCTTCCATCTTTTTTTTCAAAAAAACGTTTGTAAAATAACAATGCTAGAATCGGATTCTTTATTGACTGTTACGCATGATATGTACAAAGAGCTCGAAAAATTAAAACAGAAACAATTGCAAATAGAAGGCTAAAATGAAAAAGTAGAGATTCATTCATTCAGTCATCGGAGTACTCGGTCTTCGGTCTCTTCCTCATCGTGGGCTACGGCTCGGCGGTTGCTGAGTCCGACGCGGTCTGCCGCAAGAGCACATCTACAGTCATGTGCAAAAGTCTTTCAACACTCAATTTTCTAAAAAGTTTTATCGATTTTCTTTGATAAAGTTCATGGCGCTCTTTAAGCCGTTAATCGTTTTAGTTAAACAAATATATGTACAATTTATTTACACAAATGTCGTCGCTATACAACACTTTTTCATCGAGAAAAAAATATAATTGTCAAAACACCCCTGAAAATCGTGGTGCAAAAGTCTTTTAACGCAAGATGAAATTAAGCTATAATCAAAATTTTGTTGCGCCTCCTTTGGCCAAAAGCACTTCTTTGATACGAGTAGGCATCGATCTTACTAATTCATCAAGAATTCCAGATCCAATCGTCCTCCAAATTTTTGTTATGTAAAACCATAGCTCGACTTTAGAATTGAAAAGTTTTTCTCGCAACTTCGATTTTATTAGGCTGAGGCAAAAGTCTTTTCGTTTTTTTTCGTACTTCTGTTAAAAAGTAACAAATTCACCAATTAATCTATAGTTTGCTCTATAAAAAAAGTGTTTTTTTGTTCAATTTGCATCTTTTTAAATGAATTTCGGTTCACTTTCAAGCAAATTCGAGAGTGAAAAACGCCTTTTTCGTAAAAATCTATAAAAAACTCTACGGAAAAATTGGCTGAATGAATTTCTCTGAAATTTTGGCGAAATATCAAACGTTTTTTTTTCTCTATCTTTTATCTATTGACACGAAGATAGGTTTTCTTTAGCTAAGGTGTCTAAACCGCTCAGGCTCAGGCTCAGGCTTAGGCTGAGGCTTAGCCTGAGCCTGAGCCTGAGCCTGAGCCTAAACCGCATCATCGAGTTAGCCCTTTTTGACTACCCGACTTCATACTCTCAAGAAAATCCAGGCATTCAATATTTTTAAACCCGTTTTAATGTTATTTTGCAGAAAAATAATTGCTTTTTCTAATGAAATCAACCGTAGTTTAATTCGTGCATTTGTTGGCTTGAAACGGAAGACGAAAAGGAACGAAAAGACTTATGCATCAACCTAATAAATAGGCCCATAAATTCTCGATAACATTGATAATTATGAGCTTTTTGGAGATAGATACGATCTTTTCGGCGATAATTATGATCTTTTTGAAGATAATCACGATCTTTTTGTAGATAAATATGGTCTTTTTGGTGATAGTTATGATCTTTTTCGAGATAATTAGGATCTATCTGTAGCTCATTATGGTAGTCATGATCGTTTTGGTGCTAATTATGGTCTTTTTGGAGATAATTATGAACTTTTTGGAGATAGATACGATCTTTTTGAAGATAATTATGATCTTTTTGATATAGAAAATGCATATTCTATGCAAATCTTATTTATTTATTAAATTACAGTATAATCCAAATGACCCTGTCTATTACGTGAGTCACAATTTGGAGACGCAGCACTGTCTTTTTTGGTCGGACAGCAAGTACACTTTTGAAGGGGATGTTGATGATTTCTTATACATTAGGTACTATTTAAATATCAATGAAGTCAAGTAATTAAACTCAAGCTTTTTAGGAACTCGTCATCGTCTTTCTTTGACTACTTTGAGTTATGGTTTCAGAAGAAAAGAAATCTGGGTGAGTTATTTGGTGAGAGACAAGAGACTCAGACCGTTATATCAGTTTTGTAGAAGAAAACGGACAAATTTAAGGCCCGGCAATCGATTCGCCGATCTCGAAAATTCCCGAGTACAAATTTAGAGCTCTTTTTTATATTAAGCTGTCCAGAAAGTCTTTTCATTCCTTTTCGTACTTGAAAATTAATAAATTCACTAATTCCGGGGTGGTCCGTACGGGGTGGTCCGTACGGGGTGGTCCGTACGGGGTGGTCCGTACGGGGTGGTCCGTACGGGGTGGTCCGTACGGGGTGGTCCGTACGGGGTGGTCCGTACGGGGTGGTCCGTACGGGGTGGTCCGTACGGGGTGGTCCGTACGGGGTGGTCCGTACGGGGTGGTCCGTACGGGGTGGTCCGTACGGGGTGGTCCGTACGGGGTGGTCCGTACGGGGTGGTCCGTACGGGGTGGTCCGTACGGGGTGGTCCGTACGGGGTGGTCCGTACGGGGTGGTCCGTACGGGGTGGTCCGTACGGGGTGGTCCGTACGGGGTGGTCCGTACGGGGTGGTCCGTACGGGGTGGTCCGTACGGGAAGAAGCGATAAACGATTGAGCTTCAAACAAAGACACGGGATTGTTTTTCGAACATTGTAAAGAGAAGC